GCAGAGAAATGCCAATTCTGGTGAAAATATTCAAAGCAAATCATGATTTTATTTCACACCTTCCCAAAAGTTATTCGATGAAGAAATAATACCTAACCTCCAAGTAATAAGTTAATATAAATATGGAAGAATCCCCTCTTTAATACCAATACAATAAATATTTTTCGGTTGTAAGTATTAAAAATCATAAATGACCCAAAATGCAACCTAAACCCCTCAAAAGATGGAATTTTTACAGGTCAATTACAAAGCGGCTGATCATAATGATAACATCCAATGATTCAAATACTAAATTATTGAAGTTAAAGATCAAAAACACAATTAAAACCCTAATTTCTCACGTTGAGATCGTCGCCGACGGAGGAGATCTCCTTGTTGGCCGTCCTACTGAACCAGTAGGATCCGACCTTGTTCAGTATCTGATCCATCTCCTCCTCCTCCTCTTAATTGATTTGCCCTAATTTCTCTCGATCTCTCTCTTGTCGTCCTCTTCACTGAGAAAGAAGAGGACTCGAAACGTGAGCGGAGAGAGAGATCTCTGCTGTGAATCTGCGGACTTTTTCTTCGGATTTCGTCGATGACGACGCGTCCTACCTAATTCTGGGCCGGGCCTCCAAAGGCTAGGGCCTGTTGTGTGATTGTAAGAGGATCTGGGCCCAACTGTTTTGCTATCATGTTGTTAACAATAATGGGCAACATGCGACCAGCACCAAGCTAATATTAGGGGTAATTACGTTGCATGTTAGTCCCTTACATCATCTTTAATTGCAAAAAAGTCCCACAAATCTTCAGTTTTATTGCCAATTTGTTTTTTTTGTTAGAGATTCTATTAATTCCTCTGACTATAGTTGGATTAAGCGTTAACCCAACATTTAAAATTACTCAAATGCTCTGGAAAACATTTCTTTTTTGTCGTGAAAGTTCGAGAAGATGAAGATGCTATCAAATAAGAATAATAATTTAAAATCCAAATTAAAGAGTTAAAAAATTCAGGCGTGATCGGGAGCAGTCGTGATGTCACTGTCCTAGAAGATTGAGGACCCGCCTATCGCCCTGACGTAATCTGTCCCCTCTTCCCTAGCAGTAAAAACCCCCGGAATCGGCGGGGCCCCGCCTATCGCCCTGACGTAATCTGTCCCCTCTTCCCTAGCAGTAAAAACCCCCGGAATCGGCCGGCCTCTGCACTCGGGCGTGAGTCACAGAGCTTATGCTCAAACGAAAAAGGTTGCCCAAAATATAAATGTAAATATGTAGCTGAAATTTCTTGGAGAAATGAGAGTAGAGAAAGAGAGCTTTGAAGTTTTTCTTCTCTTCGTTGGTGTGTCTCTGAATGAGCTCAACGCCTGCTTATATAGGTGAGGAGAAGTGTAACCCCCCGCTGAATTCAAGGGACCGTTACGCACGAATCTTGTTTCCGTTACCCGCATACAGCCGTTACAAAATGTGTAAAACGTGCAAAAATAAAAGCTTGAGAAGCAAAAATGTGTGCGGTGCGGCGCGGCGTGGTGTGGCGCGCGCGTGCGTGCGAGGCGTACGTACGAGGCGAGGCGCGCGCGTGCGTGTGAGATAGATATGCAAAGCCCACAAAATCCAAAATACTATTCAAAGCCCAATAAAGAGAGAACCATTATATACCCTATACTATTCATCTCCTTTTCCAATGTGGGATTATTCACAGAGGCAAAATTGCCTTTTCATGAACAAAACATCCAACAATCCCCCCCACCCCCAAAAGGCAATATTGACTGAAAACTCAAAAAATAATAAATAAATAAATAAATCACAAAATAAATATAGGCTGGGCAACCTTTCGTATCGTGAATTCGGGAGAGGTATTTTTCGGCTTTGAACCTTTCCTTAGTGAGTTCATCGCCACCTGAGTGACATAATGGACTAGGCCTTGAATTAGGTGCCTTGAATCAGGTATTGATAAAACACACACAATACATTTTCATCTATTGAGCTAAGCGGGTTGAGCGTTAAAGGCCATGCTCACAAAAAACCGACTCATGAGAGTTTCTAGGGGTTAGCCCTGCCCCCTAACAGCGGCCATCACGGTTTCTCTCACGTAGGTAAGTCCTTAAAGGATACTATAGCTGTTTATTTAATACCCCCCACAATACACACGTTGGACTTATTAAGAGTAAAACTCTGCCTAGCTAGCTATATCATAAGAGCATCGTCATCATAGAGAAGGGGTAGTAGCAAATGCTACATAATGATATATAAATATATCTAGGTCGATGCTCCACATGAGAGTCACTTATCCAGCTTGTTTCTACCACATTGAACCGACATTAGGACTACGTCTTCAAATAAGGGTTGGGTTGCTGCTATCAGTGACCTCATTTATGGGCTTAACCTCATCCCCCTCGATGAATCCAGAACCACACTCCTGGATGATCCCTTAGTCAAAGGGTCAGCAAGATTTTTCTCAGACTTTACAAAGTCCAAGATCACAACTTTACCTAACAGGCGTTGTACAGACTTATATCTTATGTGAATATGTCTGTTATGTTTTTTATTTACATGTACTTGCTTTAGAAGCTCTATGGTAGATCTAGAATCAGAGTGAATGGAAATAGGAGGAGAGGGTTTAGGGACCAAAGGAAGTTCAGAGAGAAGATCTTTTAACCATTCGGCTTCTGAGCAAGTAGTATCAAGAGCAATCAATCCAGACTCCATGATACTCCTGACAATTATAGTTTGCTTACAAGATTTCCAGGATACAGCTGCACCATCAAAAAGAAATGCATATCCAGATGTAGACTTTATACTGTTCGAATCCGTGACCCAGTTGGCGTTACTATACCCTTCTATAGTATCAGGGTAATAAGTGTAAGTCAAGCAATAGTCAATTATGCCTTTCAGATATTTGAATGCTCTTTCTAAGGCAGTCCAATGATCTTTGCTAGGGTTGCTAGTATACCGGCTTAGTCTCCCTACAGCATAGGCTATATCGGGTCTGGTCCACTTGGATATGTAAAGAAGAGATCCAATCAGCTGAGAATACCTCAGATAGGAGACATGATCACCTTCATTCTTCTTCAAGGATATAGAAGAATCATAAGGTGTTGTAGGCAATAAAAATTGCCTTTAAATCCTTATCAGAGAAGTTCAGAATAAAACTGCTAAAACCTCGCCCATCCTTATCAGAGAAGTTCAGAATAAAACTGCTAAAACCTCGCCCGAAATAGCAAAAAGGGGAAAAACACTGATAAAAAGGGGAAAACGCAGATATCTCCCAAACCGTAAGGAATTTGGCGAAACAGAGGAAGCGAACCGAAGCCTTTAGCTAGGTTCGGATGGCTCCGTCTTGTCGAGATAGGCGATTTTTATATATAATTCGTCCAATTCCGACTTACGGTTTAAAAGTTACGGCCTATTCTTCGATCCATGCTCAGGAGCTCGCCTGCAGCTCAAATTTCGCCTGCACGATCAAGACCCAAGTCTGCCTGCACACCTGAGCTCGCCTGCAGATCCAGTTTGCCTGCAAGCTCGCCTGCAGACCCAAGTTTGCCTGCAGTCACAAGCTCGCCTGCACACTCGAGCTCGCCTGCAGACCCAGCTCGCCTGCAGACCCACAGAAGGGAGGGCCGCCGGCGCTCAGTGAGTTGGCCATATCCACTCGAGTACCTGACAGCCGCTGTCACGCATACGAGGAGGGGCTTTCCCATTCCTAAGTGACGTGATGTAAAACATGGCTCCTCGAATGACCGCTCCTGTTGCAGGTGAACAGCAGGATATCTCTGAATGACGTGTGGTCACATCCCATAATCCCACAGCTAGGGCGGCTGGCTCCCTCATCTCTATTAGTGGTCAAATCCCACGAATCAAGGGATGACCCATGCCATCCCTTACCTATTAAAACCCATCTTCAGCCAGCATGAAAGGGGGATTGGCTGTTGCATATTCTGCTGGCTAATCTCCCAAAGGTTGAACCTGGACTTTTGCCAAAGGATCCCTCATTTGAGAACTGAAGCTCCGGCAGCAATTTCGATCGGATCGTCCAAGGGAAGCAGACTCGGCACGAGCACCGAGCAAGGCATCCTATCGCCACTGAGGAACCTACGCTAAACAAGGAGGGCTTTCCCTCCACTTCTGTTGTAAACATTTGATTATTAGTTTGTAATAAGCTATTCTTATCAATACAAACGAAGTTCCCTGTTTTTGGGAGATCAAAATTTACACCTATAGAAGATGGCGACCACAGTGGGAGAATCCGTTCATTCAGATGAATTGGTGGTGGCGCAGTTTGACGAAGTTGCTGCAGGGACTACGGTTGAGTCCCTTGTGATCAAATTCGAGGGGTACTTACGATCGTCCTCTTCTGGCGGCAATACATCTCGCGTCGTGCGGGTGGCCCAGCCCCAAGAGGCTGAGGCAACCAAGCCTGAGGGATCTACCCAAGCTGAGGCAGGGGGTTCTTTTCCCCCCAAACCAGTTGGGGCCGAGCCGAGACTCGAGAATGCAGGTCTAGGGGCTGCTGAGTGGGTCGATGAACGATCCTCGCAGACCCCTGTGCAAAAGGAATCAACCATTCGTGTCGACGCAGACTACGCCTCCGCCGTCGACATGAACGCTCCTTCAAAAAGATCCAAACAGCGACGACGAAAAGCTCTCGCTCGTCTCGAGGCACAATCCCTCATCCCCCACGACAACCTGAATTATTATTCAGGCTTGAGAGGAATGAACCTCTTGAGCCAGGTTCCTATTTTTGGCGAACCGCTCAAATCTGGCGAGCCTAGCAGTTTAGGCGAGCCCATCTCTTTGAGCCAGGTTCCCAGTTTCGGCGAACCGCTCAAATCGGGCGAGCCTGACGGCTTAGGCAAGCCCAACCTCTTGAGCCAGGTTCCCAGTTTTGGCGAACCGCTCAAATCGGGTGAGCCTAGAAGTTTAGGCGAGCCTCACTCTGTGAGCAAGGTGCTCAATTTTGGCGAACCAAGGGCACCTGGCGAACCAAGGGCACCTGGCGAACTCTGCAGTTCAAGAGGGCTTCGTCAAACAAGCGGACTTTACCAAGCTCGCCTGACGGCCTAAGTTCGCCAGATAGGCGAAGCAACAACTCGCCAGACAGGCGCAGGTCCAGGAGACTCGACGAGCAACAAGTAACCATCGACTCCCTAAAGGAGATGTTGGAGCAGCTCCTGAGCGAGAAGAAGAGGAAGAGAGAGAGGACTTCACGGGCTTCGCATAAATCCTTGAAGCACAAAGAGCGGGTGCCTACTCCTTCTCACTCATCCGAGTCATCTAGAGGAGTGTCATCTTCGGGCCATAACCCAAGAGATAAGAGGTTTGACGATCTTCAAAGTCAACTCGACGCCTTGAAGCTCCAGAAGCATGTGAGCAAGCTGGGGGTTGTCAGACCGTATCCAATTGAATGGGATGCGGTCTCCTACCCGGCAAAGTTTGAGCCGCTGGACCTCCTGCAGTTCAATGGCAAGGGTTCTCCTACCCAGCACATCTACTACTTCTAGGCGCAAACTGGACACATAGTGGGAAATGATCCCATTATGACTCGACTGTTCATTGGTACCCTCAAGGGGATCGCTTTTGAATGGTT